TATGTAAAACCTTGCCTCGGCACTCTTACACAATAGTGCTGTTAGGCGAACACCAACGATATGGTGGTTAGCCTAACACTCCAGGTTGTTACCATCCTTTCTCAAGTCCAATAAAGACGAATTGGTTTGATCTCCTTCTGACAATAGATCTTCTTGTGACTTTGATTTTCACTATTACTTTTACATAGAAAAAAATGTGAATTTTGTGGTCTTTAAAGATGTTTGCTACGAATCAATCTTGAAAAAAACCAATAAAAAGAAAAAGATAGATAACGTAAGAGAAGTTTAGTATGGGTTGACAGATGGAGGAGTTACACAGGGGAGGAAATCAGTAATTTAATAAATATCTGGGAAAGTTTAGTGATTCGGGATATATACATTTGTTTGAATGACCATCAGAGGGAGTTCAATTAAGTGAAGCACAGAAAATTAATATTGGTCTAGATGGGAAGGACCAGAATGATGGTCGACCTTCACTTGCAAAAAATATTGTTCTAAATGGGAAGGATCAGAATGATGGTCGACCTTCATTTGCAAAAAAATATTAGTCTAAATGGGAAGGATCAGAATGATGGTCGACCTTCACTTGCAAGAAAATATTGGTCTAAATGGGAAGGATTCAGAATGATGGTCGATTTTCACTTGCAAAAACATACTGGTTTAAAAGGGAAGGATTCGGAATGATGGTCAACCTTCACTTGAAAACAATTACTGGTCTAGACGGTATGGATTCGGAATGATGGTCAACTTTCACTTGCAAAATAATATTGGTCTAAATGGGAAGGATTCAGAACGATGGTTGATTTTCACTTGGAAAAACATACTGGTTTAAAAGGGAAGGATTCGGAATGATGGTCAACCTTCCCTTGCAAATGGATTTTGGTGCTGTAGGTCCGTAACTTACTGCTGACCCACTAGAGGACTCTCAATATTAGTTCCACGGAATTAACTTGAAAATTTAGATGAACACATAAATGATCGTTCACTAAAATAATAATGTGTAGGCCTATACACACACGATTTAAGTCCTAATTAAAATAATAATGTGTATATACACACACGATTTAAGTCATAATTAAAATAATAATGTGTATATACACGCGATTTAAGTCCTAATTAAAATAATAATGTGTATATACACGCGATTTAAGTCCTAATTAAAATAATAATGTGTATATACACACGCGATTTAAGTCATAATTAAAATAATAATGTGTAGGCCTATACACACGCGATTTAAGTCCTAATTAAAATAATAATGTGTATACACACGCGATTTAAGTCATAATTAAAATAATAATGTGTATATACACACGATTTAAGTCATAATTAAAATAATAATGTGTATATACACACGATTTAAGTCATAATTAAAATAATAGTGTGTGTGTATATATACACGCGATTTACGTCATAATTAAAATAATATGTATACACACGATTTACGTCATAATTAAAATAATGTGTATATACACGCGATTTAAGTCATAATTAAAATCATGTGTATATACACGCGATTTAAGTCATAATTAAAATC